AAATGTTCATTCCAAAGCTTATGTTGCTGATCTCGAGCAGGTAAGGTATTATTGTTGTGGTAATTCTATCCTCTCCTCTCATGCGTTGCATTGTATTTGGTGAAGGTAGTTGTAATTTGTGAGAGCCTAGGGTTTCAACAAGTCACACACAAAAAGAAAATTAATTTTAATTTATCAAAAAGAAAATTGTTCTATCATAGTACTCCCTCTGAGTCTAATATTTAAGGTCTCATTTTAACTTATTAGGTTGACTATATTTTTACCATAAATCGTGAAAAAACATATATTTAGTTATAATATGAAATTAATATGATTAAGTTCATTTTAAGAAATAGTTTTAATATATCAAAAATTTATACTATTTCATTTGTGGTAAAAAATGTCACTATTTGACCAAAAAAGTCAAAATGAGACTTTATTTATTTACTGGACATTCAGATTAATAGTATTCAATTATTCACCATTTTGTCATATCACGTATGCAGCTTGACTGGTATATGTAATTAACTATTGTTTTTTCATTTACAATTCTATATTTAGTATTCTATTATTTTTTGTTCCCGTATCCTTGCCGTCCCCCAAACCTATAATTTTTTAAATTGCCGTTTCCTGTCCCCGCACCCGTCCCAGTGCAACCTAGTAATTGTGGGCTTAAGAGATACCGAATATTAGCATGGATTTTAGTAAAATTGGGTTGTAAATTTAGGGTCACCGTTTCGTTTTTTGAGGGGCTCTGGCTGGGTCATCCTGTGTTGTATTTGTTTTTTCTTTTTATAAAAGTTTTGTTTCTCTCTCTCTCTCTCTCTCTCTCTCTCTATACACACACACACACACATGATTTGCTGAACAATTTTTGAAGTTGTGAAGGAGACCATGGCCTCAACAATGCACAGGGCTTTGGAGGCAAAGTATTGTAAGGATTTATAATTTTGCAATTGTTTTTTATTTACAGGCTATCAATAAGAATTCGGAAAAGGGCATTGTTCACATTGGTGAAACCGGACCAACATATGCTACCGCCAGTGTAAGTGTAAAGATGAATAAAATGCTGCAGTATATCTTTCGATTTAACAAATACAATGCTTTCATTAGCTGATGGATATATAAAGCTGCATCTTGGATTTCAATATATCTTTTTCTTTTACCAAAAAACTTTTAATGAATGGAGGATTTTTTTTGTTATAATGTCTTCAATTCGGCAATAATACATCTTTTTTTTCTCTCCTTATTTCCTGATTCGATCATGATATTTGAATTATATATCTAAATTTGTTGATTGCCGCTGTTGAATTGTTCGGATTTGGTACTCCAATATGAAAAAATATGTTCTGTATTATATTCCTGATGAAGGTATTAATGATGCAGACATTCAATGATTCACTCTTGGCAGCTGGAGCAGGATTATCCCTGGTTGACTCAGTGGTGATGTCTCAATCTGTCACTTCTCAAATAGATTTGAAGTTGTACTATATACTATTTTGTATATAGATAGAAATAAGATGATCGATAGAGAACGTGCACTAATATAACATGAATCATATTGTTCTATCATTTCCAGGTTGCATCATTAAAATGGAGATCAAATCCTCCTGTTGGATTCGCTTTGATTAGACCTCCAGGGCATCATGCTACACCAACGGGTCCAATGGGCTCTTGTGTTTTTAATAATGTGGCCATTGCAGCACGCCATGCGCAACTAGTGCACGGATTGAAACGTGTGTTTATCATTGATTTTGATGCTCATCATGGGAATGGGACAAGTGATGCATTCTATGACGATCCAGATGTATTCTTCTTGTCCACTCATCAAGTAAGATATGTTCACCTCAAACCTACACACATTTTTATAAATGTTCACATGTATTTTGCGTGTTTTTTAAATGAACCTTTATTCTTTGTTTCGTCATTCGGAACTAAAATAATCAACACTCTCTATTATTAGGATGGAATATTTCCGGGCACGGGTCACGTTTACGAGGTAGGCCATGGAAGTGGTGAGGGCACAACAGTAAATTTACCCCTGCCAGAAGGCTCAGGAGATCATGCCATGAGGAGTGTGTTTGATGAGGTTATTGTGCCCTCTGCTCAGAGGTTCAACCCTGATATAATTCTTGTTTCTGCTGGGTAAGTAAATAGCTCCTTCCATCGGTGTTTGCATGTCCCAATGAATATGCTTCAAGAAGAAAGTTCACTGGTTTGTTTTCCCATGTTTGTGCCCTTTGCTAGGGCAAGGTTCTAATGATGAAATGTTTGTGCCCTTTGTCATTCTATGCCATAGGCTCCCATTGGGTCACCTAGAGAGCCTGGTTCTTAAAATTGATGGTTCCTACCCTTACCCCCTACAATTGGGGGGGTGCCCCAATGTCAATTGAACCGAGCCAATGCGTATTTACAATCTGTTAATGCATTTTTTTCCTGCTTGGCGCCGAAATGCATTCAAATTTTTTTAAATCTCAGGTATGATGCTCATGTTCTTGATCCGGTAGCGAATCTGCAGTTCACGACGGGAACATACCACTGGCTGGCGTCGAATATCAAACAGCTCGCCAAAGATCTGTGCGAGGGGCGCTGCGTCTTTTTCTTGGAGGGAGGGTATAACCTTGACTCTCTTTCACACTCGGTGGCCGACACTTTCAGAGGGTTTCTTGGAGAGGAAAGCAAGGCGAGTGAGTTTGACGACCCTGCGATCCTCGCTGCAGAACCATCCGCCAAGGTGAAGGAATTGATTCAGAGAGTTAAAAGCATTCATTCCCTCTGAATCATATCATCCTCATCAAATCCAGAGGGCATGCATTTGCCTTTTATTTAGAACATGATGAAATTTTGTAGGCTATTTAGATTGATATTGAACTCTTTTAGATTGTTAGGGTAAACACTCCGGCCACTATTCACACGGTCAAAATTTAATTACTTTCTTTACCTATTTCAGTTAGTTACAATCTTTCTTTCGTCTCTACGAGCTCGTTTGAGGATAATGTTAGAAATTAGTGCTAACATTTTTAAAATTTTAATTAATAGTAGCTTTTAAAGTTAATCTACACTATAAAATTTTATCCATTATGCTAATGCTACTTGGCTGCGACAGTCGTCCTCCGATTGGACTAGTTGAACTACTAGTTGGATCAGTAAATAAGTACCTTGATCGTTTCGGTCACTGGTCCAGTTCTAAAAATTACCGTAGTGTGTTATTACCACTGCCCATATATAACTATTGGGCATGCTTGCACCCTCTAAAAATGTGTATTACTCCGACATGTAACATGTTTTATATTGTGCTTTGAAGTATATTCCAACTACTTTTCGTTGGTTGTGTATTGTGAAACTACTTTTTCAAATTTTGGAGCAATTTAAAAAATTTCCAAACTCTGAAAAGTGTGAAATCTTATTCTACTCTTTATCAAATGCTTGGCCACACATGCAAAGCATAATATCACCTCAACTTCCAATAGGCAAATGTAAGAGGCATATTCGCGATATATTTTTAGTCGACATCATTTATTTAGTTAGATATGTTTTTCATCTATAATAACGAATTTTGTTTTAGGTTAACCTAAATTTTGTTTTAGGTTAACCTAAATTCTCATTTACGCAAGTCTATAAAGAACACATAGTGTCTAGCTTTGCACGATAAAATAAAGTATGATTCAAAAAAGGTGTTAATTAGGCAACTACTCCCTCCGTCCCAAAGTATTTGTCGACTTTCATTTTTACACATCATCCAATGCACTTCTTTGATCTATTTTATCTTGTAATTTGTATATTAAAAAATTATAAAATTATATATTAATAATCTATATGTTAAGACAAATCAAACAAGATCACACATGACTATATTTAGGCTTACACATTGAGAGAATTTGATGAGTCAAAGTGCTTAGATGAATAGTTCCAAAAGTCAAAAGTGGACGAATATAGCGGGACGGAGGTAGTATTTTATATCCATAACACAAAATTTAATTTACAAACAAAGAATGCTTGCACAAATCCTTAGCGGGTGCGGAGCATGGGGTTGAACACCAAGTATTATAAATTTGAATGAAAATTTTTTATTGTATATTTGTTATGTATGTATTTACAAATTAAAAATTGCCCATTTTGTATATTTGTATAAAGAAAACTAGCAACAACAATAACAAAATTAATAATGTTCATATTTTTAATATTATTATGAAAAATACACATAAATATTTTTAAAATTATTGTTGAAAGAAATTAAAAAAAGTTAGATGAAATTAAAAGAGCCAAAAGAAACTTTAATAATTGAAGTTGGAAGGATTTAAAAGAATTAAATTAAAAACAACAAAGAAAAGTTAGAAGAAACAAGAACTTATTGGGAAGAAAAAGAAGAAATTGGAAAATATCAAAAGTTTATGGTGCACGTGTCATCATCTAACTTAATCAACTCTCAAATATTATATTAAAGGATTTGATGCAATTTCTAAATACGAGTATATAATTTTATTTTAAAAATCTTGTGCCAATGTTTAAATAAGTTGGATAGAAAATGAGTTTAATCAACTATTGTAATCCGTTTTGTGAATTTAGTTGGATAGAAAGAATATTAGGTATATGAAATTGCAGTTTATGGAGTATATAAAGCAAATGTGCTACTCTCTTCGTCCTAAAATATTCTTCACACTTACTTTTTACACGGTTAAATTTTAATATCTTTCTTTACCTATTTTCATTAGATATTTGATAAAATAATATAGTTTTATCACTACTTATTTTGTAGAACCTTTGATGTAGTTTTTAAATCTATATTTTATTTTTTTAATTTTACACATACAATCACATAAATTGAATTAAAAATAAAATCGATCAAATCTCGTGAACACAAACGGGAAGAACATTATAAGAGAGAAGCATTATTAACATTTGAACTAGTTATGGGACACTCTTGTTTTTTATTTGAGGGAGGGGCAATTTTGAAGAGATGGAAAGAATTTTGGCCCAAATTAAAATAAATGAAACTTTAAATAAATTAAATGAGTTGGGGAGAGACCTAGTTCGCACGATCCATTACGAGACATTGCCGCCTTCAATTTCGTTGCCGATCGGTCGCCGTCCCCTGGTCGTGCTCTCCGGCGGGTTCATCATCGGCGACTGGCAATCGGCATCTTTCTTCAGGTATCATCTTCTCTTCTCCGTTTCCCTTCTAATCTATAATCTGTATACTCCCTGTCTCTCAGCCTCTCTCTCTTTCCTTCTCTTTGTCTAAGTCTCTCCCTTTTCTCTTCCAATTGTGGGCTGCTTTGGCTATTTTAATTTGTAGGGTACTTGGTTATTGTGTGATTAGTTTAATTAAGTGTGGGTTATTTGAAATTGGCGTGCCGTGTAGTGGAAGAAATGTCTTTGTCCGGTTCAGCTTCAATTAATAATAATTCTGAAGTTGATGGTGATGGAAAGTTACCGTTGTGGACATATTTCAAAGTATTGGACAAAGGAGCAGGAGGGAATAATAAGATCAAGTGTAATGTTATGGGTTTAATTTAATTAAAAATAAGATAATTGATAGGTGTTGTGAATATTTCTGACATAAATACATGTATCTCACAATGAAATGAATAATACAAATTAAAAATGTATAAATAAATTTTGCTCACCCATTGCTGCACCTGCACTCTTTTTTTTGAAAATTTCCGCACCCGCGCATCAGTTGCCACACCCGCACCAGTCGCCACACCCGCACCAGTTGCCGCACCCTCACCTGTTCTTCATAGGAAAAACCAGTAGAAAGATGTTATTTTCACATTTTAGATTTGTTTTTGCTCCTTTTTTTTGAATTTTGTTACTTGGTATGATATATTTTCGGTAGACTGATTTGGCTTGGTTTCTAAAATATGTGCGTCAGTTTTTAAAACAAGAAAAAAAAACAATGAGACTGGTAATTTAAAGCAAACACACAAACCCAATATATCCCACTTTAGAGAAGGTCTTGGGACAAGATGTAAGCATACCTTACCTCACTTTAAGGAGTGGAGGTGTTTGTTTTCAAAAGACCCACAATGAGACATGATCTGCAATGTGATGAGTGTAGAAAGTACACGCACACATATACAACACACGCTATCCCTGCATGGACTCTACAATCCTAAATTCCTAATATCCCACTTGAGAGTAGGTCTTGGGAAAAGATGCAAGCATACCATGAAACATAATCTGCAATGTGATGAGTGGAGAAAGTACACACAAATACACACACAATCCCTGCTCCTAATATGCCATCTTGAGGATTCCTATCAAAGGTCATGTACTCAAAGAGGTTTAAGACTGCCAAGTCTAGAACTGATTAACATTTGGGTTTTGCTTTGATTCGGTCCAAACTTGAAAAGACCCACTTGAATTAGATTAACAGATTTTGATGTTTTACGGTCTAGGGAGTATTTAACTTCTCTTTGCATAGGGTTTTTTCTCATCTTCAACGGTGTCAATCATTCTCATTCTGATGGAAGTCTTACTTGGAAGTTGATAAGAAGAGGGGAATCATAGCCGAAGAGTTTGGATCCGACTTTGCAGTTGTGAAGATTCTGGTGTTTTGGCAGCATGTTTGTGGCTTCACATATTCGCCACTTCAGCTTAACGACGGTGTCGTTGTCGCAGGCTCAGACGGGACCTCTTCGTCACTCCATTTCACTGCCAGCCTCCGTCCCCAACCTAATCGGCTCCTCATCTCCACCCTCTCGTGGCGTGCTTTTTTAAAATGTCTTCTTGTGATTTTTACTGCATTGACTGATTGTACTATTATGTGGATAGTTGGATGTGTACACATTGTTAATAGTTTGAAAACAGTGACAATGGAGTTGTGATCAGGGGTTTGGTTGTCAAATTGCTCTTGAATTATAGCGGACATTTTTAACAAATCAAACATGCATTACATATTGCATTGATATTTGAATCAGATTGAAGTTCACAGTTTACATTTTTAGCCCCTTAATGCATTGCTACATCTATTACCCAAAACCTCATAGGATATAAGAAGCAATGGGATGCTTAATGTTCCAAATTGATTCAGCCCATTNGATAAGACCTTCGAAGAACTTGGTCTGGACCCTCGCCTTGTCCGTGCTTTAATCAAGAAAAACATCGACAAACCCACTCCCATCCAGCGTGAAGCTATCCCTCTCATTCTCGTACATCTTTCACCATTTCCATATCTTAGTTTTCTTTAGTTATTAGCTTCTTTCTCTATGTGCCTACTTGCTTTCAATTTGATGATTTTACAGGAAGGTAAAGATGTGATTGCTCGAGCAAAGACTGGTTCTGGAAAAACCTTCGCCTACCTCCTTCCTATGCTTCAGAAGCTCTTCTCCAATTTGTCTTCAAAGAAGAATTTAGCTCCATCGGCTTTCATCCTTGTCCCAACTCGTGAACTCTGCCAGCAGGTATGAACCACACATTCCAGTGTTTATAAGATTAATCTTTTGGTCATCTGGAGTTTTATTTTAAAATGTTGATAATCTTTGTATGTTACCACTACCGATTTTCAGGTTTACTTGGAGGCTACATCTTTAATTGAATTGTGTAAGGTGCAATTAAAAGCTGTTCAGTTGACAAGCACAATGTCCACATCTGACTTGGTGAGTTGAGTTCACTAGCATTCTTGCATGTAGTAGTCTGTATAGTTACTTGATACCAAAATAATAACAGATCTGACTTAATAAACTTTGGCTTGCAGAAAACTACTTTTGCCGGGTTTCCTGAAATTGTTGTATCTACACCAGCTTGCATTAAAACATGCTTTTCAAATCGGGTTCTTCTACCAGAAGCTCTGCAAGATTCCCTCTCGATTCTTGTACTTGATGAGGTGCGTTCAATTTTCAGCTCTACATATATGTTGTGAGAACTGAGAAGTTGCTAATTTCTAGTGAGGCAGACACACACACACCATAGATAGTTTAATTGCACATTGTCAATTGACATTTGTGAATACTCATTGAATGTGCATGAGGAGGTTGATTTTTTGTTTTCTCTTCAGGCCGATCTTCTATTGTCATATGGTTATGAAGATGATCTAAGAGCTCTTACGTCTTACATCCCCAAGCGCTGCCAGTCCCTTCTCATGTCTGCTACTTCAAGGTCTGTCCTGCCATTTCATTTGGATGTTCTGCTTGTTCCCTTTTGAATTTCACCACATTTTAAGTTGTCATTTTCATTTTACTCTGTTATCAATATCAATAGATTGATAATAAACCAGTTTTCATGTCAATATTCAATGCAGTAATGATGTTGAAAAGCTGACATCACTGATGTTACATAACCCTAGCCACATACCGTCATCTGAAGTGAGTGATGCCAAGGATGATATAATTCCCAATAATGTTCAGCAATTTTATGTAAGAAGTTTTGTGCCTCCATATAGGTTTCCTGATTAAATATCATTTTGAGTGTGCACAAGTGTTCATTTTCATTTCTTTGTCCTGTGCTTAGATTTCTTGCAGTAGCAGTGACAAGTTTGTGCATATCCTTGCCCTCTTGAAGCATGAGTTGATCCTGAAAAAAGCTCTCATATTTACAAATTCTATTGACATGAGCTTTAGACTGAAATTATTCTTTGAACAGGTACTTATCCATTCTTATAGTTTTTTGCATCTGGAGTTCTAGACATGCTCTAATCCAATGACATCAATAAAATTGTTGGGTTACTTACTTCTAGCTACCTAATTTGCTATTTCCCCTCCAAGTGCTATGTTCCGGTGCATGCGATCCAATTCGCAGCTCTCGAGCTCCTGGAAAGCTCCGCAACATGTCATTGAGTGCTGGACTGCAAGTTGCTTTGCTTCATTAAAGACAGCATTATGCACACTCACACACACAACAAAAAATACTCAAAAGAATAGGAGTATAGGACTACGATAGGTGACTCAAAAGGATGCATAAGTTTGGGTTTTTGCTCAAAAGAAGAAGACAACTTGCATAGAAGACCGATAAAGAAGACAAAGGATGCATAAGTTTGGGTTTTTGCTCTTAAGTGAAGCAAATGATCTGGGATTTAATCTGTTCTGAGAACTCTTTTATTATTCTTTCCATAGCTGGGTTAAGGTTTGATTTTAGCTGACGATGAAGATGACTAAAGTAAAGCTCTTTTATGATGGTCCAGGATAACAAAATTGTGCTAAATTCCCACACATATATGCTATTTATGAAAAAAACTTTGCACTATTTGGGTTGAGAAGGCATGAGATAAGATTTGTGTTCGGGAATAAAATTAGGGGTTTAGCTTGAAGGAAACATGGCCGACAAAGCACGACAATGACCTAGGCCCTCTGGTGTTGGATTGCTTAGGTGGTGGTGTCGTAGACTCTTGGTTGCAAACGAACAAAGCAGTTTTTGGTGCTGTAATTAGTTGTCAGATATTGGGGGTTTGGGGTATGGGTGTATATGTTTGGTGGGGGTCCACGAATGGGGTTAAGACTTAAGAGATTTTTTCTTTGTTATTCAACAAGTTTGAGTTTGGATTCCCCAAGTCCACACCTGTGTAAACCAAATGCCCCCTTCATGTTTTAGTTTTTGAGGATAAAAGTAATTACTCTGAATAAAATTAGATTTAGGGGGGTGTATTCAATCAGGACTTTGATGGATTTTTTTGGATTCTGAAAATCTGTAGGTATTCAATTTAGATTTTAAAAAGTTATTTAAACTCGGAATGTATTCAATTCAGATTTTAAAAAATCTTTCAAAATCTATTGATATTCAAAATTTGATAGATTCTAAAAAATTGTAAAAAATTGTAAAAAATATGGATTTTGATGGATTTTTATGTGTTGGGTATAAATACAAATTCACTCTCAAATCTCACCAAAAAAGTAAAGATTTTGACAACTCCAATTATCGTCTCCTTTGGTTCGCTATCTCTTCTTCATCATCTTCCAGTCGGACGTCTTCCTCATCTTCTTCTAGTCGCCATCTCCTCTGTACGTCCATTTTGTTTCTTTCAATTCCCCCGCTAAATTTTCTACTTTAATTGAAGACAATGTCAGCACAGTCAATTTCCCCCTAAATTGTTTACTTTATCACTGTGACTTCACTCAGTGATTGGACCTGAATTTGCTGAATCGACAAAGAATGAACTCGAGTTATTGTTCATCGCGGGAACTTGAATTCCAGATTCGATGCTACTCTTGCTGAATTCAAGGCCAATTGTTGAGGAATTATGAGCGACCTGGTATACGTCTTCTGATTCTGAAATTGGAGTTTCAATTACAGTTAAGGAAGGTAACAAACTGAGCACTGGATTTTTGGCCTTGAACAACTCTTGTTGGGTTGTTTCTCCTGTGATAACTTCATGGGGAAAAGAGGACGCCCTGCAATTGGCACTTGAGGGTTTTGTTGCTTCAAACTGGTGTAGTCAAACAAAGTTGGGGCTAGTTTTTAGTGATTAGGGTTAGGAGTTACTGATGCCAAGTTGGGGTTGTTCTAGCCAGCGTGATGGAGTTTTTCAACAAGAACAATGTATAGATTTTAAAAATAATTCATATTTATGTATAAATAATCAATGAATTATAAATAATCAAATAAAATCCTATAAAATCATGCTCATAAAATACATTAAAATCTACTTAACTCTGCACAAACTTAAAACAATCTATGGATTTTACAAAATTCACGAATTCTAAATAATCTAAAAAAATCTATCAGAATCTTGATTGAATATACCCTCCTTAATATAAGCGTATCAAAGTAGTAAGGCTCATTTACTATGTTCCATGTTAGCCTACCAACTAAGCCTACCCCCTTAAGTACATAACAAAATTTACGCACACCAACCAGAGCACACATGTTTCTGTTCACTTATGATTTTCTCATCTCATATGGTAAGTTGAAACCATTTCTAGTTAGTCAACTATATTATTTTTAGAGTAATTGAATTCATACATTTTTTTGTGCTTCTTAAAACTTATTGACAGTTTGGGATCAAGGCTGCTGTTTTGAATGCTGAGCTTCCACAGAATTCACGCTTGCACATTCTCGAGGTATACCCCAAGTGGCGGTGATCTAGTAAAATCATGAATTTTTTATCACTTTTGGTACATTTTTTTTATCTTCATGGTCACTTTTGTTACTTTTTCTAAATTAGGAATTCAACGCTGGTCTTTTTGATTACTTGATTGCAACTGATGGCAGCAATTCAGAAGGAAAAGAGGCAATTGACGGCAGAAGCCCCAATGAGAATAAGAAATGTAAGAAGCATCAAAAGCAAAAAATTGATTCAGAATTTGGGGTTGTGAGAGGAATAGACTTCAAGAATGTGCGCACGGTGAGTCTTTTCAGTACTTCTCCTTATTCCAATCGTATTTAATAAATTTAGATATCGTTGATGCATTGATTTAGATACCCTTTTCTATCAGACCCTTGATGCATTGGTGCTTTTAGACCATCTTCGTTCGTACCCTATTTATCTAAATTTGCTCTCCAACGTTACCTAATTCACAAACTCGATTTGGTTTTTCACTCTTTCTCCTCGCGTGAAACACATATATGCGCTGTTACTGTGTAGGTGCTGTAATTGTTTTTAGAATGCACTCAAATTGATTTTGTTTTATATACTCCCTCCGCTCCTCCGTCCACAATTGATTACCACGTTACTATTCTGGATTTTTGATAACTTTTATTTATGTGTGTTTTAATTGATTACCCGGAGTATTTGATAAAATATACTCCCTCCGTTCCCCATAGATCTTCTCATTAGCCTTTTTTATTTGTCCACCATAGATCTTTCATTACCTTTTTTAACAATTAAAATACCACAACTACCCCCACTTACTTTATTTATTACACCTCACCTACCTCATTTAATACACTCCACTCATTTTCATTAAGGGTATTATGGTAAACTTTCACCATTTTTCAACTTTCCTTAAAAACCACAAAAAGTCAAAACGAGAAGACCTTAGGGGGATGGAGGGAGTAATATTCTTGTCACCTATTGTTTTGTACAACTTTTGACGTAGTTTTTTAATATGTAAATTATATGTTGTGTTTCTATACCAATTTGTAAATAAAACAAATTTAAATGACTCGTGGTTTTGCATGAGGTGTGAAGTGTGTAATCAAACATGCAATGGAGGGAGTATGTATTTATCTTGTTTATAGTTTAATGCATTTTTAAATTTACAAAGTACAAAAATTAGAGAAAAAGGAAATGTATTATGGTTTGAGTTTGATGTATGGAGTTGTAGATGAATTATTGCATTTTAAGTTTATACGCACGGTGTTTTAGGTTTGAGTTTGGCGTGATGGATTGGAGATGCTCTTAGTGCCTAAAACGTTATAAAAACGGAATTCCTTATTTAGTTTTTGGCATTCCCTGCGACTATGCTGCCTCAAGAATACACTGGATCTCTAGTCCTGTGGATATCAGTGTCCTTATTACATCTCCCAAGTAACTATAAATCTAGCCTTCTAGCCTTAGATGATATCCAACACACACCAAACTTGGCATGGATGTGATATTGTAATGGAATGGCTGGAGGATAAAATGCATACAACTGCCTTCCTTCCAACACCATATCAGTAAACCATTTTTTTGTTTTAAGGAATGATAAAGTATCGTGCCAAATGGGAAGGGGAAAGGGGTAGTTTAGTCATTTCCTCTCATTATCCTTTCCACTTTGGTTTTAGTTTCTAAATGAAACCTGACAAACACTCCGGAATGGAGGGAGAATGTATGTGTGAGTACACACACACACGCACATTGGATATAGTGGATCGTATGCATTCTCATTTTTTTCACTCTGCATCATTCTCATTTGAACCAAAGTGTGTGTGTGTGTATTCAACTTTACACTTTCCATTTTTGGATATATAAAAACCATTTTTCCGCTATTTCTTTTAGGCAGTATGTATGTGGATAGCTTTAATTCTTTTTCTTTCACATAAATTTCCTCAACACATTTTTTTCAATTTTCACCGAACACCTTTCAATTTTCACTACTTTTCTTAAACCCCGCAAAGTCAAAATGTGAAGTTGTTTTGGAGATGAAGGGAGTATATATGTATATTCATGTATTCATATCATTTCTATATTACAACAGAGAAAGTTTGTACCTCTGCGGAAATATTTACACTGTACTTCAACACTTAACAGGTAATAAATTTTGAGATGCCCCGAACAGCTGAAGGCTATGTTCACCGTATTGGACGTACAGGGAGAGCATATAATACTGGTGCATCTGTCTCCCTTGTAAGTATTTGAGGAGATATATGTAATGCAATCTCAAGCTTTATGGACTCTGGAATCCCCTTGCTTTTCTCATTAGCCTCAATTCAATTTATCAGTTTTAATAGCTACCATTTATTAGTCAAACATCTTTTCGATTCTTCAATTTTTAGACCTTTCAGTTCTCAAACAGGTTTCTCCAGAAGAAGCAGAAATGTTTCAAGAGGTCAGATCTTTATTAAGGGAAAATGATGACAACTCAAATTTTATTGCTCCCTTTCCATATCTCACTAAGGATGCAGTAGAGTCTTTGAGATATAGAGCTGAGGTAAGTGACTGTTCAATGTTCTTTATTCCTTGGCAAATCTAAGAGACTTTTATTGTGAAATTTCTTAAAAACCATCCAAATCCTCTAACCTGTGATAATTGTCCAAATGCTATAAATTTTGGTATTACTATTGATATCTTAAAAAATGGGAACATCACAGGATGTGGCGAGGAGTGTTACAAAACTTTCCGTAAAAGAAGCACGTGCTCAAGATCTGAGGAATGAGATTCTTAATTCTCAAAAGTTAGTTATCTCTCTGGATTTGTTTTTTTCCTCTTTTACATTTTTCTCAAGGGATACACAACCACAAACACATCACCACTCTTTTAGATACATGCTTTGTTTCCTTTTTCGTATAATCTACTCCAACAATTTTCTCCCCTTTGTTTTTATAAATTTGATTTTCTTTTCTAAAGTGATTACTTAGCACTCTAAATGTTTATGTAGTTACAGTTTCAGCACTTCCATTTGTTGAAACTTACTGGGGTGTTGTAGGTTAAATTTCATCACTTAGGCAGGTAGGTATATTGATTGAATAAAGCATTTGATTTCTATGTCATATTAGGTCTACAAACTTACAACGAAAGCAGACCTAATAAAATTTCACCTACTTGGAAAGTAGAGAGGTTGTTTTCAAGTCACCCTCTACTCAAAACACAAGCACAACAAAGGAAAGTAACATGAGCAAAGTAAGAGCGCAAACAAAAACAAGCACACTTGCAGAAATTACAAACTTGAGCTTGTTCTCTTCCACTTATTCTCTTCCACTTATTCTTATTACTTTGTATTTAATCTTATTGGAATCAGGTCAGATCTGAAACAACTTTAAATATAATTAGATCAAACCAAATTAAACCCGGCCTTAATAAAACTAGATCATATGAATAGAACAAGCTCTTAGGCACGAAGCACACATGCAAAACTACAGAGTAAGGTTCAAAGGTTTACCCTACCACCCTAATCCCAGACCTCGAGCCGCTCCGCTCCTCTGTAAGGCCTCATTAGAATCCTGAAGTTGTAAGTCCTGTGTATAATCACCTCTTTCCAAATTCCAACTCTTCTTAGGTTTGCCTCTACCACTCCTTACACCTCTTACCTCAAGCCTCTCACATCTTCTCAATGGGCATCCATACTTCTCATCTGTTCGTGCCGAAACCATCTATCTAGCTTGCCGTAGCTTATTCCCCACAGAGAGTTAGAGACCACTCCCGTCTTCCGTGTCACCACGCGCACACCTTAGTATCTTCGTCTATGCCACTTGTAGCTTCTGAATGTGAGTGTTCTTCTCCGGCTCACCGCTTGACACCCTGCTCCATAAAAATAGCCGGCTTGATCATTGCCCGGTAAAACCGTAAAACTTCCCTTTCAGGTTTATCGATATCCTCTTGTTGCAAAGGACACCTAAAGCAAGTTTTTACTTTGTGACCTTTGTCCTAGCGGCTCCAATGCGATGAACAATATCTCCATCTAACTCCCCATTGTCGTGAATGATGGACAAACCAATGGAAGTAAAATTCTCCTTTGTTAAATCATGTACTCCCTCTAGCCCAATTTCTTGTTCTTGTTTCTTTCATGGATCGTTTCAATTTATTCTGCATGTTTCTATTTATAGAAGGCATTACATGGTCCATATGATTTCTTTCCCTACATAAACCTCAACCACAGTTTTCACTTCATTAATCTCGGTGTGTAGCCAAAGTGGTCACAACATATTGGGACGGAGATGGTGTTTAATTTATTCATTTGACCTCCTTTTCCAAACAACTAACATACTAGTAAATTCATAACGCAAATGTCACTGAAATCCTTCAACCAAACAAGGTGTCGTCTGGTTCCTCCACTTACCTGTCATGACTGCTATTCTGCTAGGCAGTAGTTAATTATTATGGAATGAAAAACAACAATTAGTGAAGTCACAGAAGTGGAGTATACCCCTACATTCATATCAAGGCTGCTTTTGAAAAGCCCTTGGCTTCAATTTGTGCAATGAGAAAGTTGAAAAATGAACATATATTTTAATACCTTTAATCTAAATGACCCTTCCCTGGAAATACGGAAAACACAAAACTCCATATTTTGAATTTCTAGATGAACTAGCAATAAACTTGTATAATTTTTAGAGGGCAGGTATATGATACAACCCTATAAGCATTGGAAGTGGAAATAGACCCAACAAAATCAAAATGACTGGCTAAAAATGGATCAAAATGGGTCAAACCGATTTGATATGTTATACTCCGTATTTTTTTAGTGCAAAATGCAAGTCCTAGTGTGAAATTAAATATTCTAAAGATAAATCTCATAACTCGTTGGGTTGACTCGAACCCGATGACACGACACTGGGTCATGAACATTTAGTTCTCAACCTGGACTTGAATTTACCTGAACCTGATGTAACCCGAACTCAGAGTGATCAGACCCCCCAAACTGACTGACCGATTTGCCATCTCTATTTGGAATTATAGTAAGGCAGTGATTGAATAGCAAGGAATATTATTGCTTGTCTTTTTTAAATTTGTGTGTGTCAAGTCTTCCCTTAATACCTAACACCATCATATGTAGGACCAAATATGCTTTACAAAGTGATGATAAAACAAGAAAGATGTGCTTATAAGTCTAAAGAGACGTCCAAGTATCCATGGTGATTACACTTAAAATTGCACATATAAAGCAAACAAGACATTGTCGAAGTACATTTTGATGGTTAATGAGTTACATAGAGGACTTGGTTAATGATAGAGCATTCTTCTCTTAGTTCTGAAGCACATGAGTTGCCATGTTAAACCTCCTTTGTGGTTCTTTTGTCCTATTTTGGATATTTGGAGGGACAGTGGGTGGGGGAAGAAGGGATGAATGTTGGTGTGCCAACGACTTGAGCATTTTAATTCCCCCATTTCATATTCATGATCAATCTGCATTTTGTTGTCTCTTAGTTGAACATCTGTGTTGCTCATGTGTACTATTTAATTTATTTGGCTGTGCTAATTCTGTCCAGGTTGAAAGCCCATTTTCAAGAGAATCCTCAAGACCTGGGTATGAATATTTCACTCTACAGTTAGTTGGCATTTACTGAACTTGTAATGATTTTGCTCACACTTAATTTTTTTAACATGTGAAGATCTTTTGAAACATGACAAAACCCTCAGTAAGAAGGCCCCTGCTCCTCACCTGCGTGATGTGCCTGAATATCTAATTGACCCAACAACGCATGAAGCTAGCAAGATTGTAAAACTTGCTAGAGCTGCAATGGGGAATGATAGTGCTCCCCGCCGCAAAGGCTTTAATGGTAAATTTAGAAAGTCAAGAGACCCTCTAAGAACATTCTCTGCAGAGGTATTGTTACAAACTCTTATTAACTTTTTTTTGTCCTCTCCTCTCATTATTGCTAGAAATGCTAACCCAAGGAAAAAAGGCTTGTTATTTTTAATTACTATTCCCTCTATCCCATTCAAGGAGTCCATTTTGATGAGTTAACAATTTTTTACTTTTAATAAGGTACAACTCTTAGAAAACACTCTAGTCTAAAACTATCTACTCCATATTTTAAACAAGTTGAGGTGGTCTGAACATTTCACTGCATCCCTATATCTTACGGACTTCTTATGTTAGTGTTAGTTGTTTACGTCAGTTGTTTGGCTATTTGTTGCAAAGAGTTCAAAAACAAGTTTGTTGTAAACCAAACTCGACCTGGCACGAGGATTAAGAAAAATGTAATTGTATGGTTGAAAGTGATACAGAGAAGAAAAAGTATTGAAGTTCTTGGCTAACCATCCATGTAATCTCTCCGTTTTTTTAATATCTCAGGGACGAAAACGAGCTTCAAAAGGCGGGATGAAGAGAAAGCAGAAAGATACAGATTCGGGGCGTAAAGGCAAGAAAAGAAAAGGAGATTGATGATTTTTACTGTTTTTTGGCAAATGATTGTTATTACTTCACACAAGAGAATTTTGTAATATGATAAATAGGTTTATCAGATCATATATTCACAACAATTTTAGAGTGCTTAGGTAGGTTGTACTTTTTTTTCCCATTGGGGTGTGTTTGGATCTAAAATGTTGGGGAAACAAAAATGCCAACGAAAACTACGTATGTTTTCTTACGTTTTACTCTCCATTCTAATTGTCCCCCACCCCCTCCATTACCACAAAAATGGGCAAAAATTTTTAAAAAAAAATTAAATAAATAAAAAGTAGATAAAAATGAATGGTGGAGAAGGGAGTGGGGGACAAATGGGGTACACATTTGGTGTGCCCCTAGCATGGCTCTTGGGAATAACATTAGAGATTAGCATTGGCATTTTTGGATTAAATTTCAACGTTGTAGATTATTTTGAAAAAGCTAACGCTAAACGTTGTTGGTATATATCCTTTTCAAAATGCTAACATTAATCTAATGCTATTCTCAAACAAGCCCTAAGTCATGTTTATTATTTACATGTTCAAAATTTTACTATATTGGCTATTTTTGTCAATAATATACGCATATTACTTCTTTGTTCGTAGATTTTTTGGTGTAATTTTAAATGTATAATTTTAATTTTAATACACTAAGTTTTAATTAAATTGAATTAAGAAACTGTAACGTGCAATTTAGATTGGAATTGGGGAAGTAGTTAGCAAATTTATTTTTTCTTGAGGTCAAGTGGAGGGAAGGGCAAGAGGCAAAATCTTAGCCAAGACTCATGTCGGTCATGCGGTTACGTCACCCCATGGAAGCAAAAGGGAGGGATTATAAAAGATTTTTAGAGAAAAAAACACGAGATGGTTTTCAAAAATAAAAAATAAAAAAAGAATACGAGATGGTTTGACTGTTTGAGCTTTAGTTGAAGGGTTAAAATGTGCAGAAAATTACTCTTCATTTTTTGTAAGAATTCTCATGTTACACAATTCACATTATTCGAAATATATACCAGGGATTTTTAAAATTAGTAATAGAGGGTACATTCTACGAGTATTTATTTGGCCGTTAGGATTAAAAATTATGGTACTTTGACAAATACTAAACTTTACATTGGTAATTGGATGAGGTTCACATGACATTCGAACCCAATGTCATGGGATGACCCGGGAGTGCTCCGGTGCCCTGTTCGTAAAATTGACGGTTCCTACCCCCTAACCCTCCCCGTAAACCCCCCCACCCCACCCCGATCCGAACACCCCCCTACCCCCGTCAATTACACCCCACAAGTTGATTTTGACTTTGGAGTCAAATTTTGATTAACACCTAAGAGTACGTTTGATGATTTTTGGAGATATAATATGAGTTTTGAAAATATAAAATGCTGTTTAGAGATATTCAAAATCATAATTTAAATAGTGATATATGGGGTGAGTGACAATGAGGGTGTTTGGCGGTGTAGTGGTAGTTGGTGACGGAGGGTGATCCACAATAGATGGAAATATTAGTTTGTATTTTGTTGAATGTAGTGTGTTATCAACGATACGAAATTATCACTAAAAATCATTGTTCATAATCTCTCTATGTTTTGTTAAATATATTGTGTTAGAGTCATACTCCTTCCGTCTCGTTTTAAATTGCCTGTTTTGACTTTTGAACATATTTAAGGAAAAGAAAAATTAGAGTTGATTTTCTGAAATTGCTATTACTTTTTAGGAGGGGTGACGATGAATGAGAAGATAAGGCGGAAAAGAGTGACTTATTTTAGGGGTAGTTTAGGTATTTCGCTTTTAAAAGTTTACGATAACAAGTAACATGCAACTTATTTTGAGACGAAGAAGGCAAACATGCAATTTAAAATGGGACAGAGGGAGTATAAATTATCACGTGTCTTGAATTGTTAGAGCCACAAATAAAAATATCACAAAACTCACAAGTTTACTACTACCTCCGTCCCAATTTATAATGTCTGTTTCGGTTTACGATGTTTGACTGAAATTATTTTCAAAGCATTTTATATGACAAATGGTATAGAATTAAAAAATAAAATTACATATTAAAAAACTACATCAAAAGATCTACAAAACTAGTAGTGACAATAATATTTTATTTTATCAAATTGCTAACGAAAATAGGGAAAGAAAGTGAATGAAGTTTGACCCTGTGAATAGTAAACAGGCATTATAATTTGGGACAGAGGGAGTATTTGAAGACCTCATTAAAAGAATAAAATGATTTCAAACGTTTTAAATTTAAATATTTATATGTCTACCAAGACATGGGGTGAGACTGAGAGTTACTTCCTCGATTCAAATTGATCTTCTCATTCAACTTTTTACGATATATATTGTACTCCCTCTGTCCTATATCTTTCTTCCCGATTCGCAAAACGAAGAAAAATCCCAAATTTTTTCAATCTATTTTATTTAAATATTGGTATAGAAATAAAAAATAAAACATACATATTTAAAAACTACATCAAAAGTTCAACAAAACAAGTGGTGACAAGAATATTTTATTTTATCATATAGCCATGAAAAAACACAAATAAATATAAATTCCTGTGAAGTTGAAATAGTACTCTGGGAAGAAAGTTTTAAGACGGAGGGAGTAGTATTTTGACTATTAATATTTATATTTATACATGAATATATTTAATGAAAAAAGGAACAGGGAAGGGGTAAAAAAGGGGTAAAAAACACAATAGTGACACATGAATCATTGTTTGTTTTTTGAAGGCACCCATGATTCATTGTTCTTTGATGGGATATGCTAGGGGTAGATCAAAGGTGTATCCCAAATGTACACCACCCTCCCTCTCTACCATTCATTTTATTTTATTTTTAGTTTTTACTTTTTTTTGAATTTTTTTGCCTTTTTTGTGTGGTGATGGAGGAGGTGGGGAATGTTTGGGGTACACTTTTGGTGTACGCCTAGCATTTTCCTTCTTTGATTCTTTTACCTAAAAATTGGGCCTAAAAATTGGGAGTTAATTAGTGCACAAATTTCCGTGTGCTTGAAACTCGTGTTAACGCAAAGTGGTACAATAAGCAGTGGCAGAAAGAGACACCTCATCATCATCATCATCATCATCATCATCATCATCCCTCTCCGGTTCAACTCAATCCATCCCTCCCTCACCTGGGAGAAAAAATAAAGAGCACGATAATAATACACACCCCCCCCACACACAATTCTTCCCATCATTCATCTTTCATGGAGTATTTAACTTTCTCTGCTCTCGACCTTCTTCTCCTCCAAGTCCCAAATTTTACGTTGACCCTTTGATCCGAGTGATACACACCTTGCGCTGATCATATGAAATCGCAGATAATATTTGGCGGAATTCACAAACAAACGCGGTAGATGTCTTCTTTCTTTTGAGACTCATCGCAGGCATGGGTTTTGAGGAATCTCGGGGGTCTCTGTTTAAAAATGTATAAAAAAAACAATTGTCCCTTTGAAATTCTGTTTCTTGGATCTGTGATGATCGCAATGCATAGAATCATTAGATGGATACCCATGTTTTATTTTTGGGTTTTAATGTGTGTTCTCTTGTTTTTTTGTGTGTGGATTACTTGATGATGATCAATTGATGAGGTTTTTGAACTGTGGATCGCCAAAGATCAAATTTTTATTTGTGATGGTGGATTCATTTCTGGTGTGGTTTGTGTGTGCTTTTCAGTGTTTCATGAGTACTAAACCATAGGCGTGGAAATTCCTTTCTTTTCTGGGTGTAATATTATTTGGAAAGATTGGTATTCTTCACGCACCAGTTTTACTTGCCTTTTATGCATCTATAGCCTCCTCAGATGGGTTTCTTGTCTGAGCTGTGTTTATGCTGCTTGCTTTTATATGATAGTTAAGAGATGTTATTTCTCGAGTTTTACATCGTTTGATCGGATTGATTGATTCACTTATTGGGTATCAATTTAGTAGTGTTAGAGGGCATTGTTTTGATTTTCGGTTATCTAGCATTGTATGATCAGTTGATTTGTTGTGAGTAGACTGAACTGAGATGAATTTTTGGTGATTATGGTTTATTGTTCTTGACTTCTTGTAGGTTTGAAGCTGCAGTTGATAAATTCTATCAACTTTTACTAGTATGAGGTAATAAGTTGCATTTGGATGATGATATGGACGGTGTTTTTCCGGTCTTTTCACACTCATTCTGCTATTCAGGTAGCAGAAATTAGAAGGTCCAGTTGTTACGTTTGGGTGGGATTCTTAGAAGTGATTCTTGAGGTTCTATTTGAGATTTTGAAAGGTGATTCTGATTATCAGTTCCCATGGATGCCGCCGCGGGGGGGACCCCAAGTGTTCAATATTGTAACATTTCCGAGCAGCCGATTGCTTCTCTTGTCACCTCCCACGCCCCACCATTTCCAAAGAAACAAAGGCACTGTTTCGGAAACACTTGTCCCGGGGAGTTCCCATTGTCTGCGAATCCCTCCATTGTCCTTCATGTCCTCACCGGGTGTAATCTGGACCCACAAGACCTCGCGGTACTAGAGGCAAGTTCTTTCTTTTCCAGTCATCGCAATCCAAGGCTCGCCCTACTTGTCTTTTGGAATTGATATTTCTGCTGATTTGAGTTTATTATGATGTGGGTTTTGCAGGCCACTTGCTCTTTCTTCAGGCAACCAGCGCATTTCCCCCCTGATTTTGAGCTCTCTTTGGCTGAGCTGGCAGCTCTAGATATGTGCCATAAGAGAGCTATTTTTAAACCTATGACAGAAGAGGAAAGGGGAGAGTTAAAGCGAAGGTGTGGGGGATCTTGGAAACTTGTCCTAAGATATTTGCTTGCTGGGGAGACATGTTCACGGCGAGAGTCTTCACAAGCAGTAGCGGGTCCCGGCCATAGTATTGCCGTGACTTCCAAAGGAGCTGTGTATGCGTTCGGCTCTAATAGCTCTGGACAGCTTGGACACGGAACAACCGAGGAAGAGTGCAGACCCCACATTATTAGGTTCAAATGAATTATGGAGTATTTTTTTTGTAGCCTTGTTGTAATCAATCAATCAGGCAGATCAGAGTAGCTAAATAAATACTAGCAAAAATGCTAGAATAACACCAACTTTGACACCACAGATGACAACTAAATTTGTACGCACACAGGTATAATCGTCTGTGGACTCTGTGTGCAGATCTCTGCAAGGTGTACGCATCATTCAAGCAGCAGTAGGCTCCGGGCGGACGATGCTGATAAGTGATGCCGGGA